CAGTTCTTGATGCAAACCAAGTTCCTGATCCAGTCCCTCAAGAGAGCCAAATGTACTTCATCCACTCACGAGAACCTCCTGCATTCCACATACTACTTTGGATGCTATGGGTACATTTGTGAACAAAAGGCATAAAGTCCCTGATCACAGATTATTCTACTGGAGAAGAGAAACAATAAATAGTTATCTATTACATAATAGAACATCAGAGCATGAGAAGGTCTAAGAAGAACCATAAATCTGGGCAAGAGGATCGAGAGAGAGAGATGGTAAGGGAAGGCTCCTCTGAGCAAGTGACATTTCAGCAAAGACCTGAATGAAGTGAGCAAACCACCCCAAACATTTCTGGGAGGAGCTTTCCAGGCAGAGGACACAGCAGCTGCAGAGCTCCTTTGATGGGACTATGCTGTGCATATGAAGCGCAGCTTGTTCATACTCTGCTCTGTATTCCAAGTCCTGCCACTCTTCTGAGGGATGTCACTGTGTCCTTCTGTCACAGTGCATCTCCAATTTCCAAATCTCCCTTGGTTGAATGTTCTTCATCTCCACTGTACTTCATTTCAGCAACTCACTACCTTGAGCCTTGCTTGTCCTTCTCTGAACTTCCAGACTCTGTCACTTTGACCTCAATCTCCTAGCTGTTAGTGCTCCCTTTCCTTTCTCTATACCCATTTCTCTTCCTGAAGACCCCTACTTCCTTAAGTCCTCCCTTTCTTCTCAATCTATCAGGCTAATCAGTAATTGATTACCATCCTTCTCCAACTTAGATTCTTTCAAACACAGGCAGTATAGTGTAATGGTTAGAGCATGGCCTTTGAGGCCCAACTGCCTGGTTTAAAATTCTAGCCTACCATTAACTATGTGTGCTTCAATTTTCTGAGGACATCATAATAGCAACCTCTGCCATTGCCATTATAAGGATTAAATGACCTAGAGCACACACAGTGCTTAGAAAAGTGACAGGCCACAAAACAAGCATTTGATATATATTATCATGATAACTATCATGCTATTATTGTGATGATTCATCTGCTCTCCCAGCGACAGTTTGACCCTCCTTGACTCAAGTTTTTCTTCTGTTGAAGCTTCTCAGGAAATCACAATCTCTGGCTCAATCTCATCATCTATTTTTTCTGTTCTTATTCCTCAGCAGCTGAGGTCTCCTGAAAAATGAACTACTTCACCATGCAGGTTGGCACTGCTATAAACGGAGAGCTTTCCAGATGCTTGGTCTACCACCTAGCATGACAATCCCTTTACATGCTTCTGGTTGTTTTTCTCACTAATTCCCCCCATTTGCTATTCTACGCCTTCATTTTTTCCAGATCCCCAAGCTTCTGACCCTTTCACCCTTGCTTGACAGTTCGAACATGAACTGCGTAAACAAACTAAAATGTATTTATATTCTCAGCTTTTCTTCGAACTCATACGAAGAGGCCTACCTTCTGTCCTAGACTAGTTACCTACTAATGTTCTAGATAACTTCCCCTTCTCTTTCATTTGGGGATCTAATTCTACCAATTATTTCTTCTCTTCCTCATTAATTTCAGGTCCTAAACATGCTGAAATCTCCCCGGTCTTTACAAAACAAGACAACAAAACAAAACAAAATAACACCACTTTGAACTCGGAATCCCCCTCTATCTGTTGTCCTATCTCCTTTCTCTACAGCTAAATTTCTTGACCTTGCCAAATGTCCCCTGGGGCAAAATTGACCCTGGTGGAGAACTACTGAATAGAGGCTATGAGGCAATATAAAATAGAGCAAAGACTA